AGAAAGGAGCCTGAAAGAGGGCTGCTTACACTCCACGAAAACCTCACAAGAACCGACTTCATAATGGAAATCCTCCTTGTTCGTTTTAACATTCTATTCGCATGGATACAATAGAAACAGGTGAGCACCGTCTCGTCAGAACAATTTGTGGCCTGACGTTTCAAAATTAATCGGTTTTCATTTAATTGTCATTACTTTTTCCACTAATGGCTTCATCGATCTAAATTACAATTTTAACAGATTGTATCACGACAACAGAATCTAATTACTTGGTAGTAAAATATGAAGGCTGAAAATCGCTAATACCAAAGGCCGTCAATGAACACGATCCCAGTCCAATTAAGTCCACCTCACAATTTGTCTCTTTAACATCCGCCTATGCACTTATCGGCACTGGAAGCAGAGACATTCCAAGAAGTTTCCTCATCTACACCATCCATGTATCTGCCTTCCTCATTCGGGCTATATGTTCAAATCCATCGTAACCTCTTCCATTATCCTAACAGCAGAAATCCACGTCAGGACCATTCGGCTTACCGACCAGCAGAAGTACAAGCTATTTAAACTCTTTTGTGTGCTGCGTAGGCCCGATTATGGATGTACGAGTTATGCCAAACGGACCGAATATGCAGAATATCGCAATATTTTAAATTACTTAATAAGATATGACGAAACGTTCTTACAGAACTATCAATGTCGTACAACTATATCATTCAACATTCGGATTCAGAAATGCGAATACATTGTTCGTAACTCAAGCCTTGTCCTGATTTTGCATTTGGACTGAAGTATGTCTTCAGATTTTATCATATTCTGTCTTAGCCTTACAGACATATACAAAGGATTCGGAGAATCATACTAAACCCGTCTTCTCATCTTCTGAGTCGACGTTATCCGTCAAGGACTTCTTTGCTCGCAAAACGGAGGCAGTGCGTGGAATGAAGACCATATTGAGAAACAGCGAAAATATGTTTTCTTCTATATCAATTGCTTCATGGCTATACTGATCTAAAAAAAAACTCCGTTGCTTTAGTCCGCAAGCGAACTATATCGACCGAGCGACCTCCGCTTGTCGGCGAAGTTAGTACTAACTTCTGCGGATAGAGCGTGTCGCGTGGTCAGCGCGACGGATTCCCATGGCCGTTAATCTTGTTTTTCTAGACCGGAGTCGCTACTTTTCCATACAAGTAGCTCCTCAATTATCCTCACGAGGCTGAGTGGACACCGTTCCAGACCCACTACTTCTCAGAAAATCAGGTATCGCCCGGAATCGATCTGTAACCATGAACTCTGACCACTAGAAACAGATTACATACATAGTGCCCCTAGTATATGAAATTAATATCTTCTTTTAATATCTACGAACGACACAGCTAAGTAACAGTATGATTCTAAGCCCCTCGATAAATTCAGACGTGCCTTTAATAACTTTCTCTGAGGCAGTTCTTTCTGTGGTTCAGATTCCTAGGCCGAGGTTAATTCATTAAACTTGTAAAATTAGTAGGGGCAGGCCAAAGAGCATCATAACACCAACGACGCGGCTGAGAATCAAGCAGGGAAACAGTACAGAGAACGAACAGCACTGGAGGCTTTAATGCGAAGCATGTACAACGGCACGGAAAAGCCACCAAAGGCAGGCTCACTTCTTTGCAATTATAAACTTCAATAATATTTCACTTCCTTCTTTGATACAGACTAGCGCCCCATAACCGCATGTTTTGGAACACAGAGCAACAGTAAGTGGGGTATTTTCCAAGCATCCAAAATAAGCAAAAACATATGATGAAAATTAAACATTCCATTAGATAAAGCTTAGGTCGGGACTGAGGTTATCCTATCTGATGTTACTGTGCGGGATCAGGCATTTCTTACGCTGGCAAATGCAATGAGAACATACAAGGCTCTTAATGATGTCGAGCCCAAAAGTATCCCCAACTATTGACACTGTCGGGCTGATCACGCGCCCATGGTACTTTATACTGAGAAGTTTCATTTCAGTTCTTGTTCATACAGGACAATAAGAGCAAACGCTTTGGGAGACGACCTACATGCATTTTCGCGCGTATCTCAAGAGTTCAAGGAGAAGATAATCGTTAAATATTTACCTGCGCGAAAAAAATAAGCGACTAAACGTTACAGAGAAAAATGAAACACGTTTTATGTCTACGGTTTTCAGGATAATTAAACAAATGGCGCGAACCCCCCCCACCAAGACTAAAATGTTACCAGTACATTTCCGGAGAGAACTTATCCTTCTTTTTACATAGACATTCATAAGCTCTAACAGGGTCAATCAGAAATGTTTCATTCATTGTGCTATTTTTTTTCCTTGGCACTACAGCCCCAGTGGGCCTAGGCCTACCTCCATGAACTACTCCGTTCACTTCGGTTTTTCTAGATCTTACACACTCGGTAGGACTCCGTGGGCGGGTGATCAGCTCGTAGCAAGGCCTCTACCTATACACAAACACAGAAAAACGCACACAAACATCCATGCCCTAAGTGGGATTCGAACCCACGAGCGAGCGAAGACAGTACATGTCTTAGACCACTCGGCTACCGTGACCGGCCACTGTACTATTTGCTTAACGTAATTATAGAATATAAGCTTGTGTTGGTTCGTGGCTTACTGGGCCTATGCCGTCTAATCACAGATTAAACCCAATGTAATTTTGTTAATGGTGGAAGCTGGCCTTACGCCTTCACAAAAATCCAGTAAAATATTTTCGCGCCCGCGAGTGAAGCGGGTCCGAGCCGAGCCGAGCCGAGCTGAGCTGAGCTAAGCGGAAGTAATGAGCAAAGCCGCATCCATTTCTATTTAATGTTAATACACATTCGAGCGTGCTTTAAGAAAACCTCAACCGCAACTACAGAGCAAAAGCATCTGAATTACTTACAGAAACTAGAACATTCTATTCATTATTTATTCTGAAAATGTAATTCGGAAAAATGGAAACAAGTACAATCAACTGTAAAATAAAGGGGGGACGAGAGGAAACGACGAACAATGCGACGCATTTATCAATCCAGACAGAAAAATAATAAAAAAAAATAATGCATTAACTAACACAGCCTAGTGGTCGGAGTTCCTGGCTACAGATCCAGAGGTCCGGGTTCAATTCCCGGCGCTACACAGATTTGCTGAGAAGTAATGGGTCTGGAACGGGGTCCACTCAGCCTCGTGAGGATAACTGAGGAGCTATTTCAAGGAAATAGCGACTCCAGTCTAGAAACCCGAAATTAACGGCCGTGGGTATCCGTTGCGCTGACCACGCGATACCCTCTATCCGCTAAAGTTGACACTAACTTCGCCGACAAGTGGCGGTCGCTCGGTCGGTGTAGTTCGGCTACAGACTAAAGCCACGGAGTTAGGTTTAACTAACACGAATACATGTGTATATCGTATGGCACCTTAACGTCGAGATTATTTTATAGTTGCTACATACTGAAACATTTTTCAGTCCTGGAATGTAATTCAATAGCTGCCTACAGGATACAAGCCGAAACAAGGTGGGCAGAAATGTACTTACGGCGTATTGTTATGTACTACAGGGTGAATCGTATAGAACCGGCCCGATGAATTTGCTAATAATTCCGCAGGTGATGCATATAACCGCTCACAATTACGACATAATAATCCGTGGGCCGTGCTGAGTCGAATGGTGTGCGCATGATCCGGCAAGTGGCGACCCTTATGCTGCAAGGTCAGGGACAATCCCGGAACGTGTCTGCAGTGCGCAGGCGACATTCATGGAGTATACTGTTGAACAGCGAGTGTTTCTAGTGCCTACTTGAAAACGGCGGACACTTTCAACACCTGTTCTGATCACGGCACACAATCCAAGATATGTGTAAATTACTTTAATATCTGTATGCTATATTTTATATTACAGCTCATTTCGTCGGGCCGGTTCTACATGAATCACCCTGTACATCGCAAGTTGTATCTGATGGCTGTAAATTTATTTCAATTTCAATATGCAACACAATGGTATGAACTCCAATAAAAACACTTGTTTCAAACAATGAGATGGATATATGTTTCCAGTTGTCAGTAAACGATTGATTTGTCGTTTTGCAATGTTGTTTCATCTACACGGATTTCGAACCGGGATCCTCTCAAACAAAATTCAGAACTGCTGCCGAGTCATTATTCCAACCTGGGGGTTCAGAGTGTGAAGCAGGGACGATGCGCCATTTGGTTGGAGAACAACCACAAGGTTTCATAATTGGGGAAATACATACGTCTAACTCGTGTAATCTGGCTACACAGAACTCATAAAGCTGCGAAGTCCCTCAGCTAATCAAGAAATCTCCCGCTTGTCACAGAACCTTACAGTTTATTGAGATAATCTGGCCTCGAAGACCGGAACAAGTATTATGTGACATCAACACGTTCAATCACGGAGCAGTATACCCCTGTCGCGTACACGTTACGAACAACACACAAAAAGCTAGGACTAAGTCCGCAAATCACCTTCTTAAAAGCTAGCCAAGCAAGATAACACCCAAATTAACACTAGCTATGAAATCTCGGAGTTCATTTGCAGCCGAAAGTGCCAATTATCCGTCCATTAATTACTCTCGGCGGATATGGATTATGTCCCTTCAGCAATGTGATAAAAACTTACATCGCAGTTAATCTGGTGATAGCTAAGTTGGGTCTCCGTTCCCAGATGAGCGCCAAGAACATGGTCTCTATTAAAGCTCCCGCAATATCACTCAAAGATAATTCCATCGCCGCCAATTTATGAGATAACGAACCCACAACCTTGTAGATAACTACCCTCGGAATACCGAACCGAGAACCGTTACAGTCTTCTACTATTACTACTTTATCGTTCAGACAACTTCAACAGTCAGGAAATTATTTTAATGATGGCGACTACTTCAGACAAAACCACCATGAAATGGAAATGCTTTTAGTACATCTGCGGGAAAAAGCTCGTTGCTATAACTTTAAGTATATATAATTAAAATATGAAATAAAATGTACTTACGATATAGCCTTTTCCTGAGCTACAATGACTGCTGGCCTGGAACATAAACAAAATGCACACATGTAGCAACAACATAAGTTCCTGTTAGTAGCAGTAGTAGTAAAACACTACGTCAGTAGCTCTTTTAGCAAAAGGGACACATGAAATAGGGTCTCACCTTCCTGCACCTACAGCAACACACCAGATACCACTCTCAAAAGGACTGCAGGGCACTTTTAGAAACATGTTATGGCAAGGCTTTAACCACTGCCTGGAACACTCGCTTTTCTTTAACATTTAAATCGCGTGAATAATTCTTATATAAGACGTAGATCGTTATACATAACAAATGCCAATTTAATACTGCAACTGTAAAAGATGATACAGTGGGACTCTTTGTTACAATGACACGCCTCATCCTCAAGCTGCGGAGAGGGGCGTACCCTTCAGATACAGACGGCAGATGAATTATGTTAAATAAGTTGTGAACAACCGGTGTGGCCAATCCACCCCATAAAAGCACGACAAGAAATGAATGCATAGTGTTAACAATTCTGGTGCGTTGTCTGCTTGCTTCATTACCTCGAAAACTGTAAGGGCAAAAAAAAAAGTGAAGTTGTCTCTGTGTTTAACTAATTAAGCATTATGCCTAGGAGACATATGAGGGAGTGGATGTAAAGACCCACGTTTTCCTGACTTCGGCACTAGGAGTTTCACGCCTCGGCCGCTTTACCACCGGGGAAAGAGCCCCCGTTACCCATTGGATACAAGGCTGGATTGGTCCCAGATACGGTATGAACGATATGGAGAAGTGAAAATTCTTGCCCCCACCGGGAATAGAACTCCGACCCCTTGGTCGTCCAGCCAGTAGCCAGTCGCTATACCGACTCCGCTATCTCGACTCTTCGAAAATGATAAAGAGTTAAGGGAAAACTATATAATATAAAATGACTTTCAGTTTTTCTCTACAACTTTTGTTCCAATGCTTTTAGCTCCGATAAATGCATAGCAAGTTAACGCTCGATATGCCGTGTCAGCTTTCGCGTTAAGTGTCCGTTACTAACCACTCATTTTAGACAAAACAATGCGGAACCAAAGCTACCAATACAGAATTTCATACAAATCTGTTCAGTGGACCTCAGTCTGTTATATGGGGACAGGCATGGCGAAGATAAAGCACCCATTTCAGAAAAGCTGATGCTAAGGCGCAAAAAAGAAAATACGGCAGACCGAGGTCAAAATTCAACGCAAGGATGGAAAAATGTGCGTGTCCTTTGCAACATGCCGACAGTCTTAATTACGCCAACAGACCGACCAAATAATAAAAGTAAAATAAGTAAAAGCGTAATTAGCAAAGAAACTGTAGCAGCAGAATGATCAATTACATTTTAATTAAGTACAGAGAAAAATTCAAGCAGGCCTATAAATTCAGGTGGAAGTAAGCGTCGTTAAAAGACTTCGGTAATTTTCGCATGATTCGGAAGAGCGCTGCTGATTGGTGAATAAGGTGTTCCCAGTTCCACAGACTACTCAACTGCGAAACAATTTTGGGGCGTTTCATACCGGAAACAGTTACGATTTACGGAGAAAAAAGTATACTGTGTTACTTTTTGCACACAGTGAAAATGCTGAATGCTCTAACAACTCTCATCAAATAATTCCGTTATACCTGGAGGGCAAACAGAGCAAATGAGCATCCGTCGTTAAGAATGCCAAGGTACTTGGAGGATTACAAAGCCAAAGAGTAAGCAAGAATATCAACTCTGTCGTATCGAAAACTTGTCACAAATGGTTCTGAATTGATGGTAGCCCGCATTACCCGAATTTATTCTGCTCTTATCCTCATGCATACAATTTTCATTTGTTACTGTTGTCTCTGTGGTCTAGTGGTCAGAGTTCTTGGCTAGAGATCCGATGGTCCCGGGTTCGATTGCCGGCACTACCAGATTTTCTGAGAAGTAGTGGGTCTGCAAAGGGTTTCACTCAGCCTCGTGACCATAATTGAGGTGCTATTTCAAGGCTCCGGTCTAGAAAACCGAGATTAACTGCGCTGACCACGTGACACCCTATATCCGCAAAAGTTGGCACTAACTTCGCAGACAAGCGGCGGTCGCTCGGTCGGTATAGATCACTTGCGGACTACAGGCCACGGAGTTTTGTTTTGTTACGGTTGTCCCCAAATATCGTAATTTTGCCACGTTTTCACAGGATCTATTAGATATCTTTATGTTATGATTGTGCCCCGCATTCTGGTGACGAGACATCAACATATACATGTACTAAGTCTTCTCTGCTTTTACTTCTAGGCCAACTTCCTTACTAGCACCTTAGGAACACCATTAACTGTTAAAAGGGAACCCTATTCTTACTGTCAAGGGAGGGCCGTGACATAGCTCAGGCGGTTAGTCGCTGGCTTCCAACCGCGGCGGACCGGGTTCGAGCTCAGGTCAGGTCAGGTGGGATTTGTGGTGGACAAAGGGGCAGTTTTCTCCAAGTAGTTCGGTTTCCACTGCCAATTCTCATTCCACCAATTGCTCCACATTCATCATCATCTAGCACCCGGGGCTGGTACAATACGAGTAGGCCAGTTGGTGGTCGACGTACCAAGTGGACTCAGTCTCACCCCACCCCAAGAAACTAAAAATACTGTCAAGGGAAAGACGCTGGCTACCACCAGTGTTTCGTAATCATCTGTTCATGTAACAGACCCGGCGGGGGTAAAACTAATACAAGGGAAGACAGCCAGAAAGTTGTAGGTACCTTGACACGAATTCGACCCTGGTCCTCTCGTGTGGGTACACGTGATTGGACTGTTACAAGTTGACCCACATAGGGCTTACAATACACCAAAGTATATTCTGATACAGAAAACTATGTATTCATAAAAAACACGCAAACACATACACAATTCTACGTATAATCCGCATGGCTGAATTATGCATATCGTTTGCCCTCCAAAAACCTTCGGACAAATTAACTGCGTATTACGTCCGCGGAAGTTCAACTATTTTGTTTTACTCGACGCTACAGCCTGCGAGTACTATTAAAAGATTTTCAAAAACGTTTAAAACCTCAAATGTTCTTTGCCGCATTTAGTAAATTCTAGCATTTATACAAATGGTGTACAGAAATCTGAGCGTGCATCATATTCGTGAGCACTTCAAATTCGAGAAGATTGTGCACTGTCAAACTGGTGTTGGACCCGCTCTGAAGGCCCCTCCCCTCCCGAATTTGTTTAGCCCTATTCTATGAACTGCTAATATTCCCATCACTCAGTCACTCTGAAGAGATACAGTCACCAACTGCAACGCTTCTTGGGGGGGAGGGGTAGACTAGAACCCCATCTATGATGCCAAATATAGTATTCAGCAGACCCGAAGATTTTCTCGGTCACTACAAAATAGACAAATGCCGATTTACTGCTACCGTCTACCTCTCTGTTTCGTAGACCTGTCCCTATATAGAAGGTGAATGTTCTACCGTTTTAAGTTCCTTGGAAAATCATTCAGTCCTTACGACTACGAGTAGGACTGTGAGAACTTAAAAGTTCACGGCCAACAATCGTTCCTGCTCCCAATGTGCCAAGGAGTATCGGTCTCGAACAAGTCCGCTCCGCTGTACACAACTAGTCAACATACTTGTATTGCACTGAGTCAATTACTTTACAATTCGTGTTTCTTATCTCTGACAGTATTCCACTACTGTTTACTCCTATCTCAGGTAGTACCCCCCTCCCGCCATCCCTAGTCACTATTATCAGCTCCTATCCTCTTAACGCCTCAGTTTGGGGCCGCGCCATAGCTCAAGCGGTTAGTCGCTAGCTTCCCACCGCGGCGGCCCGGGTTCGATCCCGGGTATGGTCAAGTGGGATTTGTGGTGGACAAAGTGGCGCTGGGGCAGGTTTTCTCCTAGTACTTCGGTTTCCCCTGCCAATCTTCATTCCACCAACTGCTCCACAGTCACCCTCACCTATCATCTGGGGCTGGTACAATTGGCCAGAAGTGGCTGCAGTACAATGGAGTCCCACCCCACTAGCAATAAAAAAAACGCCTCAGTTTAATGAGATCAACTGTTACTTCGCTAAATGCCTATTGGTAATAACATCTAATCGCTTCGTACATATTCGCAAATGCATTTTACTCGTAACGCGTTACTCCCCACACCTTTTCGACGGCTGTATTGAATATTTCCACTCACTGACACACTTTATAGTCTCTCTCTCGTTCTCTCGGAGTCGGGATAGCGCAGTCGGTATAGCGACTGGCTACGGGCTGGACAACCGAGTGGTCGGAGTTTGAGTCCCGGTAGGGTCAAGAGTTTTCTCTTCTTCATGTCGTCCACACCGGCACTGGGGTCCACCTAACTCACTTCCACCTAGTGCAGAGGTCAAGAAAATGTGTATTTATACATCTACTCCCCCATACGTCTTCATGGCGTACTGCTTAAGTTCAGTTCAGTTATTCAGTATAGAGGGGGTGGGTTTTCCCATGCACCGCGACTAATAGTCTATTGTACGTCCCCCTTTAATTTCTACTGTCGCCATGCCTTACTGATACTGGTGCCCGCTATCTCCCCTTTCTGCCAGCGAGGTCGGCCCTCTACTGGCACTGGTACCCGATAACTTCCCCATCTACCGGAGGCACTGGAAACTACTTGGGCGGGAAACATTTTGTCCAATTTTGCTCAAAGGTCTCCTAGAGACATGAGGATCTTTTACGTGCCGTAAATCTACGACACGGGACCCACGGCTTAAAGTCCCTCCCGGAGGACTTGTTTCCTGAATTTTTCCGCCCTTAAAAATTCCACGACCTCCGCCGGGTTTGAACCCGCGTACCTTGAGTCATGAGCAGCTTTACTGCTTAAGTTAGTTAAGCATAGGGACAACTTTATTCCCCCCCTCCTTCTCTCTCAGAACTACTTGATGCCACGATATCTTCACAAAGGTTCACGATCAGACATAGCCCGTTACGTTATAAGTGTTATATTAGAGCTACATTTACCTCAATAAGAAAACAATCGAAGACATCGTGGGGATAGTTCAGCATACAGAAAGAATTCACCTGGTTAGAGCATAGAGCGGTCAGCATTCAACCGGCCTAAAGATAAAAGCTGCATTACATGGGAAGCTACAGTAACTTCTAAATGACTACTGATACTCACATCACTGAGCCTGTCGTGTGAACTGTCTCGATCACGGGAAGCTATGGGCCCGTTCAACCGCTCTGACGCCCTTCCGCTGTCGTCACTCGTGCCGGCGGCGTCGTGGTTAAGTGATACCAGACACTGTAAGACAGAAAGATACAAACCTTAACATTTGAAAATTCAAACACAGAGTAACTTATTTCACTACATTACGTGAATACGTGGTAGTTAAAAGCAGGAAACACTCGTCTCTACAGTTAACCACTTTCGTCCTATAATTGAGGGCATCACTCTGTGGTTACTTCGCTTTATGCTTAATTAACCATAAAACGATAGCGTCTGACAAAGCACATTATGGAAGTCGTTTTTTTTTCCGTCTAGATCCTTAGAATGGACCGCCTCTGTGGTCTAGTGGTCAGCATTCGTAGCTACAAATCCAGAGGTCCGGGTTCGTTTCCCGGCGCTACCAGATTTTCTGAGAAGTAGTGGGTCTGCAGCGGGGTCCACTCAGCCTCATGAGGATAACTGAGGAGCTACTTGAATGGAAAAGCAGCGGATCCGGTCTAGAAAACCGAAATTAACGGCCGAGTGGATTCGCTGCGCTGACCACGCGACACCCTCTATCCGCTAAAGTTGGCACTAACTTCGCCGACAAGCGGCGTTCCCTCGGTCGGTATAGTTCGCTTGCGGACTAAAGCCACGGAGTTTGTTTGGTTTGATTCTTAGAATGAAACACGGAACACGTCACTTGGACACTGTTCAACTTTGAATACGTATATGGGTACAACGAATCGTCTCCAGTGTTACTGAACTTGCAAAGCAATTGCAATTGAATTATTATTACGAAACGTCTTGAGGTCATGCAATTTCACAGAAAAGTCATATCGAGATCCGATGCGTGGTATTAACTGCAAAGCCCATAGAACGTTGAGCTTAAAAAAACGTTGTGATCGATAAGCTGGACAAAGCGTGGCAGAAAGAAGTAGCAGCTTATTTTAATGTAATATTCCGCGCGTATCAGCAGAGACTGGAGAAAAATGCGTAAACCCTGACATAATAGCTGGTCTTCAGGCTAAACACTGAGCCCGGACCTCGCGAATACGACGAAGAAGCAAATAAATACACAACTGTCACATTCGGTCCAAATTCACTGTAACTATCTCCATCTGCTTGGCAGATCAGTAATGATTATCACAAAAGAGGTCCGCTGAGGTGGTAAACGAGCCAGTCGGCTTACGAAAGCAGCGTGCACAAACAAACCCTGTTTCGGCTTACGGAAGAGATCAAAGGATTGCAGACTCATCAAGTATTGTACAGTGGGCGTTAATGCCCATCCCGTCTGCAGTTCTCCAGGTATCTTCGCTGTGTGTGTGTGTGTGTGTCAATGCCTACTTTGTAGCGTATATACTGCCCGAACAGCTACTGACCCGCAATACAATCTGAAATTTGGAATGCAATTTCAACACTTTCAAACTCAAACAGTAAAGGCTACAAATGTAGCATTGCCTCCGTGGTATACAGATGTCCTTAAAAAGAGAAACAGTTGTTATGCTGAGCAAGATATTTCTTGCTCTTTGAGAATATGAAGGCGATCATAAAGCATTTAAATATTTTTTAATCAACAGAAAATTCTGGGCGAACACATAATTAAGTTATCATTTATGTAAGACCGAACATTCTCTCACGTTACTTCATTAATCCTAGCCCCAAACATCTGCAAACATCCTAAGTTTAATGTTCTTCTTCCTTCACTCACTCACTCATGGAGCTGAGCCCTTCTTAAGAAGCCGCCCACTGTGCAGCTACTTAAGAACTTCCCAGCATTCTACGGAACTCGAAGATTCACTGCCGTGTTCACAAGAGCCGTCCATTGGTCTCTATCCTGAGCCAGATTGATCCAGTCCATACAATACAATTCTGTCTCTCTAATATCCATTTTGTCCCTGTCCACCTACCTACGTCTTGGTCTTCCTAGTTGCCTCTTTCTTTCTGGCTTTCCCACCAATATCCCATATGCATTCCTCTTACCTCCCATTCGTGCTACATGCCCTGTCCATCCACCTTGACTTGATCATTCTAATTATACTTGGTGAAGAGTACAAGTTATAAAGCTCCTCATTATGTAGTTTCCTCAACCTCCTGTCACTTCATCTCTCTTTGGTCCAAATATTCTCCTCTCCTTTAAAAAAAAATTAATCTTTGCAACAATACAAAACAAGGAAAACTGTGGTTCTATATTGTACGTATAAGTGAACATAGAAAACTAAAAGGTAAAAGCTGAGTGGTCCCTGAATTGAATTTTATCTTGATTTCATAATGAATGTCACCTTTACTATACGTCAGGATGAGGTATGGGAGGTTCCGTGTTCAAAGCTCCAAACGGAGACGGGTTCATCGTCTCAAAGAGAGTTCACGATATACACGATGCGCAACGTGAGGCTGTCACAACGGCATTCACGAAACATTTCCTCTGCACAAATACAGAGTATAAGAAAATCCCTTAAACATAACCTGTGAACTTTCTGACAATTTGTAGCTGTTCGTATTCGTCCTGCAGTTGCTTTATAAAATAACTGCTATAAGCAAGCATGAATATGACACGCTCTAAGTTTCACTGAAGAATATCACAATTCGCTTAAAATGTCAAGGAAGCGTACTTTACCAAACACTAAATAAGTTAATGAAGAAAGTCGTCTTCTGGGTTTAGGCACCGTGTATTCTTCGTTTTGGCCGACGTTTCGGAGGAACGTAGCGCCTCCATCTTCAGAGCAGTTGAATGGCTTGGAATGCGGGGAGCTACTGATCTCCGCATTCCAAGGCATTCAACTGCTCTGAAGATGGAGGCGCTACGTTCCTCCGAAACGTCGGCCAAAACGAAGAATACACGGTGCCTAAACCCAGAAGACGACTTTCTTCATTGTCATCGCCGTGAAAACCTCAAAACTTACTAAATAAGTTAGTTCGAGACACAAACTGTCTGTACCTAATAAAAAAAATCTCTTCCATAGAACGTGAAGGTCAAAAACAAAGAGCCTGCCACATGTATTTACTACGACGTGGCCTATTAGTTAGATCTACCAATGTGTTACTGAGTCGAGATAGCGCATTCGGTATAACAACTAGATACTAGTTGGACAACCGAGGGGACGAGTTCGAGTCACAGTGGAGACAAGAATTTTCACTTCTCCATATCGTTCAGACCGGCCCTGGTGTCCACCCAACCTCCTACCCAATGGGTACCGGGGGCTCTTTCCCCTTGGGTAAAGCTCACCATTCACCTCAAATTAGTGCCAAGGTCAAGAAACCGTGGATCTATACATCCACTCCCCATATGCGCCTTCATGGCATAGTGCTTACTTAGTTATGCACAGGGACAACTTTACCTTTTTACCAATATATTTAGACTGTGAATCGTAAAGGCTGGGGCCTCATACGAAAAATTACCAGTTTCGTTTAGGTTCTGTTGGTCTCATCTCATTTTACAAACTGACAAAGCCGTAACAAAATTTCTGAACATAAAATTTGCGCAGTATTTCAGGTCCATCATTCCTGCCATGTATTATAATCTTTCCTAGATTGTATTTTAATTAGTAAACGTATGCAACAAATACAATTATTTCCGTGCAAGGCTTTGTTGTGTGTTGCGTGCGACAGGCGGTGTAGCCTGCTATTAACAACTATCTCACCCATCTCCGAACCGACACGCTACACCAGATTATAAATTATTCCATAGCTTTGACAGGACACTGCAAGCTGGAAGTTTGATTGAAAATATATAACCAGCAAATGCTAGGCTTAATATGAAAGAGAGAAGGACAGTGAGGGGAGCAGTACCCGATGCAATTACCCTCACAATCAGCCAGTTAAGCCAATCAAAAACGGGTGGCCAATTACAATCTCGCTTTATCTAACAAAGACCCATATAGTCCATCGTGAACACATGATAAAGGCTTCCCCGTCACAGAAATAATTTAAATGCAAAGGAATTAGAGAGAATTAGAGTGGTGAAAGTGAGTAGGTCTGGGTTTTAAACCGGGCTGAGGGAGGTACAGGCATGTTCAGAGATAAATCTTTCAAAGGAGATTCTCATAAAGGACTAAAAGGCTGAACTCCTACTGCTGAGAATAAAGAGTTAACAGATGGTAATTAATATCACGATGTGTTTAACTGGGATATTCTATTGATTTAATTACATAATCTAATTAGTAAGTTCTCAAAAACCATCCAACTGACACAATGTTCATAAATTTGCATCCGAAATTTCTGATTATACAGCTCCAAAAAAGAGAACAGAACTCCCGTGTGACAGTCGCGTAACTTGGAACCCTGGTTATTCTTCTTGTTTCAATGTCTTTAATTTTCATGAAATTATTAACTTTAACATGTAATAATTAATTTTGAAATATCATTAATTTTAGCTGTCTAAGAATATAATTCGCCGGTCACGGTAGCCAAGCGGTCTAAGGCATGTACTGTCTTCGCTCGCTTGGAAACCGGGATCGTGGGTTCGAATCCCACTCAGGGCATGGATGTTTAGTTTATGTGTGTGCTTTTTCTGTGTTTGTGTACAGGTAGAGGCCTTTCGACGAGCTGATCACCCGCCCAAGGAGTCCTACCGAAGGTGTAAGATCTAGAAAAGCCGAAGTGAACGGAGAGGTTCATGGAGGTAGGCCTAGGTCCACTGGGGCTGTAGTGCCAAGGGGGAAAAAAAAGGAATATAATTCTCGTTTAAGACAAGAATTGTATCATGTTATTATATTTCAGCATCCTTTTGCATTGTGGCTTCATTTTCAGATCTGAAAAAGAGGAGCTGCAGTATGTTTAGGCCCCACGAAAATATACATGAAAAGGCATTACCGCGAAATTCGTAAAATGGGGTATACCTATATTTGTTATAACCAGGGCCCGGATTTTGATGACCTGAAAATATTTTTAAAAAATGACCTATAAAATGATAGAAAAAAGGAAAAAGACCTAAAATATGATCTAAAAATGTAATATGCAGGGCCCGGATTTTGATGACCTGAAAATATTTAAAAAAAATGACCTACAAAGTGACCGAAAAATCCGGAAAAATGACCTAAAGGAGAAAAGAAATAACATTTCGCTTCCATGTTATTCACATTTCAGAAAACATATGA